TTAGGGTTTAGGGATTAGGATTTTTAGTAGGGTTCAGGGCCTAGGATGTAGGGCGTGGTCTTGGCTTCCTCAACCGGGCGCTAAGATCAGAAGCTCTCAGAGGAGTAAACTAAGTAGACACGGAATTTTGCTTCATGCGGCTAGCTGTGAACCGTCAAAACCCCACATGTTAAACGTCATAGTGTACTTATGTTAGTATTTTGTGCTACCTTATCTCAAACAGAACATAGTACAATACATTCTGGTATAATACATTTACTACAGTATACTATACTTTGCTTTAGTACTGTACTGAATGGTGAGAAACTAAACAACTCCATTCTATGGATGCCCGCGAGCGAATGTAATGTCATTCAATATGTTATGCTATGATATGTGATCAAACAGTAACACTCCTCTTATAACCTAGTACAACATAACCCAAGACAGGATAACAGGATAACATAAAAACTAGATTAGGCTAGTGACGTACAGCATCTTAAACTATAATATGGTATAATACCTTTTGGTGAGGCAAAATGCATTGAATGTTGTGTTTTGGTATAACATAACTTACATAACATGACATGATGAAATGTGATATAATATATTGCAATAGACAAAAAACTGAAACGTTACAGTTTAATGTATGTGATATTCCAATTGTTTACATAGTACAATATAATACATCAGGTATAAATAATGTAAATTAATCAGCATCTTGTCGTAAACTGTTTTCTGATGTATCGAAAGTGTAAAACAAATATACACTCCTGGACGGCAAGTTAAACCCCTTAACAAAAAAACTCGGGCGATAGGCCCCGCCGGAAATTTCTAGCACAACATTAGAACTCGTTCATTTTGCCCGGTGTGCAAGTTAGAATCCAATCAAGGAAATTTGAACCCACCTGCTTCAAAAGCTGGGATTGACGGGTTGTGGAACATTTTCGGGTATTCTCATGATTCTTACAGCTGGCGGCCCCACCATGAGAAAGTTTCAACCCACCCCACCGCCCGGCACGGTGCTGCCTGCCGCACCACCCGAACCGCACCCAGCAGCGTGCGTCGTACCGCCCATACCGCCCGTATCATTGGTTCTGACTTGCTGTGGCAAAATCAAGAACTGCTCTGTACCACACCCCGCGCCGCCCCGTAACGCGCCGTACCACCAAGTGCCGCGCCGTACCGCCGGTACCCACACTTGCACCGCCCCGTATGGTTGGTTCTAACTTCGACCGGCAAATGAAGGGTACGGGCGGTACGGGGCAGTATACGGGCACGGTACCGGCAGCGCCCTACAGGATATAGTATTTGGTATAATATGAAGAAATGGCATAGTGAAGTATAACATACTGTATGGTAGAATAATATAACATAACACAACAAAATACGATGCACCCTAGCAACAAGATTTCACATGGTTTCAGATAAGATAAGATAAGATAAGATATATGATATATTACAACACAACAGAAACAAAACAAAACATATCATGTCATATTGTACTATAAACTAAGTGTATTAAAACACGCACACACACATATATATTTGTATGTGTATATATATATACATGCGTATGTGTATATATATATGAATACAGTGTAGCATGCCACAACGAAATATAACATAACAAAACATGATTTAGCATACAGTAATATTATAACACGGCATTTCATAAAACAAGATAATGTATTACAACATAGTCTCACATAATATGTATATGTATATATATATATGGGTGTTGATCTAAATTACTTCATCCCGGAATGTCCTTCTTCACGGAAAAACATTAACTTTAACAAAACCAACGCGGAACTTTCGCGAAGGCACATTTACATACGTTGCTAAGCTAAAACCCTGAGTTATAGGCTACAAGGTTCTCGATGACAAGTTGTTACAGGCATTAAAACTATGTAATTAA